TAGTTTTTGCCAATTAATTTTCATAATATCTTTAATTAAAAGATTTATTCTATAAGCTAAACAACCAAAAAAAAAGTAAAAAGATATTTTTGTTCTAAAATTCTCTATACAACTTTTATTACTAATATATTATCAGTAATAATAGCTGAAACTTTGTAATTTCAATTAATTCTATTGTTTTTTTAATTTCATTAGCTATGTTTATTGCATTTTGGTAAATTTCTTCAGTTGGTTTAGCTGATATAAATACAGAAGTAGATGTAATAAAAAGTATATTAGTCCAATGTTCATTATTTTAAATTAGATCTAAATAAATTATAATTAAGTATAATATATTAATAAATAATATTAATAAAATTTAATTTTTAATAATAATTATAAATATTATTATTAAAATTTATTATTTTTTAATTAAAATTTAATTATAATTTTTAATAACTAATTATCAAAATTATTTAAAAAATATTTACTATAATATATATAAATTTTATAATAAAAATAATAAAATATTTTTAGTTAAATTTAATAATAACAAATGAAAAACTTTTTTACTAATAGTATTATAAAAACTTATTTATATTTTTAATAATATCAAAAATTTTTTAGATAATTTTTATTAATTTCTAGTAATAAAAATATTTGTAATCAATTTTTTTTGCATATATATATTAATTAATAATTATATATTAATATATATTATTAATAATATATAAGATTATATTAATTTATATTAATATTAATTACTAATAATATATATAAAAATTTATAATTTTTAATCAAACTTTAATAATAAATAACCCAATAACTATTAATTCAAATTAGTTAAAATTTTTATAATAAATAATATTAATATATATTTATAATATATTAAAATTTAATAAATTTATTAAATGATTACTTAATAATTATTTAATTTAATTAGATAAAATTTTAATAAATAATATATATATTAATATTATTTATAATAAAAATTTTAACCAATTTAGATTACTAGTTATCAAGATATTTATTATTAAAGTTTAATTAAAAATTACAAATTTTTGTTATAATTATAATTAGTTTAATTATAATTAATATATATAGTACCTAAAAATTATTTTCTGATAAATAGTTATAAAAAAGATTATTATAATTCTAATAATACTAAAAATATTAAAATTAGTTTAACAAATAATAAAATATTAATAATTTATATGTTATAATTAAATTAAAATTTTTTTATAAATTTATAAAAAAATTTAATATAAATGTAAAATATAAATTATCAATATTTTATAATTTACTAAACTGAGTTTAGTATTCTTATTACTATTAAAACTATAATTATTTTCTTTATAACTTTTATTAAAAATATAAATAAGATTAATCTAATATAAAAATTAAAATTTATAATATTATATATTAATTAGTTGTTAAGAAAATTATAATTAAAAATTAATAAAAATAATAAAATTTTTATAATATTTTGGTTTATTTACTATCTATTTGTAATAATACAGATATAATTAGCTTTACTAATATATTGTTCTACTTCAATTTTTGTTTCTTTATATACTATATTAAGAAAATTTATTAAAAGTTTTTTTCTTTTAGGTGGATTAAATAAAGAACATAATTTTTAAAAAAATTTAATTATTGGTTTTTGTTCAGAAAAGATAAAAAAAGTTCATATTGTAATATAGTTTTAGTAAGACAATATTGTAAATTTACTTAATTAGTTGTATTTATATTATCTAAAAACTGATTAAAATTTTTATTTGGTTTCTTTATAAATCTTGTTATTGACTGATTTGTTGTATTAGTATATTGAGAACTATTAAATCTAGGATGCTCAAATTCTTCATCAAAATATTCTTTCAAGTTTTCAATACTTGTATTAGTACATACTTTAAAATGTTCTTTATATCATAATATTATACTAGTATATATAAAAGGATATCTATTATAATTTGCTCTTTCTTATTTATATTCTTTTATAACTTCTGACTTTGTAAAATACTCCCAAATTTTACCAACTTTTGTCATTAAAAAAGATAGAAAAGAATTATTACAGCAAGTCTTAAAAAAATTTAATACACTAATAAATATATCAATAAATACATGCATATATCATTATATTTATTATAAAAATATTTACATCCCAACATTTTTTTTAAATAGAAATAGATTAGCATTATTACTATAAGGTAGCTATGTAATAAAGATGATATTCATGTGATATCATGTGCATAAATTAATGATTTATGCAGTTTCATATAGTTTCATGTACATATTATATAAGTTTTTACATATGAATCTGCATAAATCATTGATTTATGCATATGATATTGCATGAATGCTCATCTCTATATATAACACTATTATACAAAACAAAGAATAGAAGGTAGAATTAGGAATCTAAATTTGATATGATTATTTGAAATTAGTGCTCTGATCTGGTTGATCTAAATGACCTGACACCAATCCAGTTATAATAAATTTATTAAATAGATAATTATAACCTGGTTGGTTCTAGGTTATTCAGGTTAACCCAATCAGAGCACTATTTAGAATTATTAACTCATTAATCAGCAGTATGTATTTGAAATATATAGATTATTATAATATTTTTCTATTTTTTTTTATTTGTTTTAATTATCATGTTCTAAAAATGATTATTATAAGCTTTAACTTTGTTTTAAAATATAATATCAAGCTTTTATAATTCTGAGGATTCAATCATTAATAATATAACTATTGGAATGTATGTTAACATTATATATTCAATTAAGTTAAATCTTTTATTTGTATAATTAGTACAACAGTTGAAAAGAGTGTGGAGACTTAGTAAAGTAGATAAGTTGTCAACTCTCTAAGTGGTAGGTTGGGAGTTCAAAACCCACTGACGACGAAAATTTGGAAAACCACCTATGTTACATCAGTGTATACGGGCATTTGTGCAATGCTAGAGTTATACAGAGGAATGCAAACTGGCATTGGGTGGTGCAAACACAAGATAAGTCCTTGAAACTAGTAATATGGCAACAGCTATCTATCGATTAGTTGGGATCAGTATCTGTAACACAGTCATACCAGATAACTGGCAGGTTATGGGGCATCAGTGGCCATGTAAATCCATGAACTGGGATAACCAAAGCTCACTTGGAAAGACCTAAGTAGAGAGATAACATGGATCTTTGACAGTACTACTGTAAAGGCTAGACCTAGGAAATGGATAGCAATATGGAAGAAATCGGACAGGCAAGAATCTCAATAAGGGGTACCACCAACCAGGCCACCAGAAGACTCGAACTGGAGAAAAATGACCTTGAGGAGCAGACCCTGGGGTACTAGGAACAGGTCACAGTCCTATCAGGCTATCTGGATTGGGAGTTTGAGGTTGGAAATAGGGGTATACTAAAATACTAAGGATATGCTGTGAAGTCAGTGCTAGGGTCTGGGTGAACTCTGCAAGGGCGAGCCCTGTTAGCAAAGATTAAATGTGGGTAGTTAGTTAGCAGGGAGGCCTCCTAGAGTCCTATAGTCAAGTGACGTACTCTGAAATGTGTAACGACTTGACAGACTTACAGACAGAAAGATCAAGGTTAGGTTAAATGGCATCTAATTAGGTGTACAGAAGCTTGTGCTACTATCTGCTAGTGTAGTATAGGGGTAACCTTATACAAGTTATGTAATCATAATTGAATTCACAATAAAGGCAGTAACCACCATAACTAAAAGGCCTTAGCAAAAGCAAAAAAAAAAAAAAAAAAAAAAAAGTTGGATGAACAATATAACAAAGTATAATAATTAGTAATTTTATAAATATTTATTAACTGATTTATTATTTAAGTTATTCATATTCATAATATTTTAGAGCCATTATTATTGGAGGTTGCATTAACACTAGATTCAATAACTAATATGTACAATTTATTTTATTTAAATTTATAATATTTCATTATATTGGTATTAATTATTGCTATTATTTATTAATTGATGTATTTAAAATTATTTAAAATAGCATTGCAAAATGAAACTTAGAAAAATTTTTTTAATATTTAGCATTTATATAATCATTTTAATTTGATAAATATAATTATAGACATTTATTAATTAACTTATTTAAGATACTTAAGCCTATAGTATATTAATAATCTTTTATTTATTTTATCTAATATTTTGTAATAGTATGAAAAATTTACATATATAGTGTTTTATTCTTAATATATATTAGTAAATTCTTGCTAACTTGACCAAAATGAAAATTTAAATAGCATCTTACAATATAAATTACCAAAAAAAAAAAAGTTAATTTAGTTAAAAATATAATAACCAATATTTGAGTGCGCGAGAGTGAAAACCTGGAAACCGATTTAATGATTTACTATGATCGGTTTCCAGGTTTTCACTCTCACGCACTCATTTGTATTACGAGATTAGTCTTTAAACTATGTCATATATAGTTTAATTATAAAGTTACGAATCTTTTTATTTGGCTTTTAAACAAATTAAAATCAACTATATGAATTTGTTTAATTTGTAAAAATTCTTAGATTTTTTTTAACTTTGATAAAAATTTTACATATAGTATATGCAAATATACCAATCACGTTACAGCAGGTCACGTGGGGGTGAAATTTTTATGGCGATACTGGGGTAAATAGTAGATCTATCACCGTTAAGCAAACATTCATTTTTGATACTTCTGTACCTACTTTTTTGATACATCTAAGCATACCCTAAAATTTTTACTAACTTTTATTATATATTATAGAAATTATAAAATAAAAAGATGCAGAAGTATTCCTGGTAGTGTAACGTTACATTAAAACGAGACTCGCTATTGGATGATAACGTGAAAGTGAAAATTTGACGGTAGTTGGTAGATCTACAAAAATTAACCTAAAAATATCGCCAATTTACATGTGATCATCCTAGAAATTTTTTTGCAGGTCATTACTTTATAAATCTATATATATTCGGGGCCATGTTATTCAAAACCGAATTCTAACGTTAACATGCCAAAACCGGTAAGGCAAGAAGATTTAGATTTCGTTTCTTGTGAGAACGATCGCTATGAAAGTGAAATATTTAAATGGAAAAATGATCGGTTAGTTGTAAGTAATTGTAATTTACAGCTTAATTAATTATAACTGCTAATAAATAGCCTTGATTATAGGAAGCCATAGCACAAGAAGAACTTGAATTTGTGAAAGAGTCTTACGAAGCCAAAGCACGCGCACACAAAATATATGAAGAAGCAGAGCAGATACGTTTAAAGGCTATGAAAGAATGGCAAAAATACTGGGCTCAAATGGAGGCTAAATAGTAAGTACATATATTTAGTTCACAAAATCTGGTATTAAATTCTACAATTTGCTCAGAATAAAAAAATAAATAAAAAATCTATTATGCTTAGTGAAAAAGAAAGGCTTGAAAGAAGACGAAGATTTGAATCAGAACAGGCTAAGTGGAAGCAAATGGCTGAGGTGAGTGATACGACAACGAAATACGTTTCTTTTACATTATGTTCTAATTTATATAGTTCATAATAGGAATACGATCGTAAGATTAAAGCGCAAAGACAAGCCGAAGAAGATCGAAAAAAAAAAGAGGAAGAGGCAAAAAACCAGGAAATTCTTAGAATACAAAATCAGAAACTGGCACAGGAGGTAGCATTGGCTGAGGAAAGAAAGAAAAAAGAAGAGGCGTTAAAAGCGGCAGAAAACGCCAAAAAAACTCAAGATAATGTTAAAATTGTGATCGAGGGTAATGCTAAAAATCTTGCATCAGACGAAATTTTGAAACAAGAAGAGCATTATCGCAATATGCTTAAAAGTATACATGATAAATTTTCAAAGAATCCTCAGCTGAAATCTGCGACTACCGGAACAAGAAAGAACATCACACTGGGATTAAACATTCTTACGAATGGCCGTGCGGAAATTATTAAAATTGTAAGATTTAATATTTATTGTACTTGATGTAATTATTGAATCATCAGTGATTTTATTCATTTTAGGCTTCTCAATTTGACGAAATGCTGAAAAGCCACAAAAACAATTTGAACGTTTACTATTTTCTTATTAACTATATTGCAAAAGGAATAGTGGTTAGTAAATAGAGGTACCAGTTTAATACCGAAATATTAAACTATATAACATTTCTGACCTTTTAACTTTTAGAAACACGCTGAAGTTGACGTAGTATCGAAGGAATCTGCAGCGTTTCCTTTTGCTCATTTGTGTGTGTTGATTTCTACGCAACATCCAGAATTTATGGAGTTTTTAATGACTCGCCTTGTTAAAAAATGTCCATATGTCTTACCACGCTATCATATTTGTCAGACCGTAGGTTATTCGTGGGGGTTTTTTTTCTGTTGAAATAGACATCATATCTGCTATCTGAAATTAGGGATATTAAATATATTTATTTATTTTGTAGAATCAAAGCCGGGAGGAATATAAGAAGCAAATATCATCTAAGCCAAAGGAGGATGAAGATGCCTATGTTAATCGAATGTGTGCAATTGTAGCCCTATATTGTGCAATAATGCAAACGGAACCTTTATATCCTCGTATGTCCAATCAATGCATATGCTATGTGTTGATAATAACGCCTTATTGTATTATTAACTGTTATTTTATTTCATGCTTTTGAAGAACTTAAAAACCCATATTACATTGACAATGCTTGGACATATCTGGCGCGTTTAATGAACCTGAGGCCTCAAAAAATTACGCCATCGCTTCTTTATACTTGTCTAAAGGTGGATAAATAGCATTTACTAACATTTATACCAGAATTATTATTTATCTAATATTTTTTATCGCTTAGATTACTGGCTCGAGTCTTTTTCGCGCATATAATCATCACGCATTGAAACTATTTTCTGTTGTCTACAAAAGCTATGTTCAAAACCCACCTTCAGAGGTTCGATCATTGCTGACAAGCTCGCCGGCTGCAATGTCTAGATTACGAACATTACTTGAAGATGCGTCTAAAAAAGGACAATTTCCAGTTCCAGAAGGACAGACTCCTAGCTAAACGGAAATATATATCGTTTTTATTTATTAGTGAAAATTAGAGTATTTGGAATCATCGTTTCTTTATTTGTAGTTTACGGGTGGCAAACAAAATCATTTACCAATCGAATCGAACAATCAAGTTATTTTATTATGTATATATTATTTTTAGCATTTACACCCGTAAAATTAATTAGAAGATCATATTTTCCGTTTTGGTCAAAAAGATTTTAAATGAAAGTGTCTCAAAAAGCATAAGCCAAATTCAATAAAATGTTTTTATTTGAATTTTACAAATTTTTGGAATTCAAATTTAATTAGGTGATCGCTAAAATATTTGCGATCAAAAATTAAAAAATATAATCCAATTCTGATAACACCGAATTCAGAATTCGACAGCATAGTTAAAAATCCATTTGATTGGCCGATGATCATCCATTTTTTTAAATTATTTGATTGGCCGATGATCATCCATTTTTTTAAATTATTTGATTGGCTAATAGTTATTAATTTTTTGCTGGCTAGTAGAAATGCAAAGAGGCTCGAACAGTTTATACATTTGTATAATAAAAAATTGATAAATTAATATAGCTGATGAGCCAATTTACACCTTTGGTGACTAATAAATAACTTAATTTAGAACGAATTCATTATTCTCGTGTAAGATAAATATTCGTGATAATACAGCCGATGAGCCAATTTACTACTCTCGTGTAAGATAAATATTCACGATATTACTGTAGTAAAATATATTTAGAGTACTTTTTGTACATATCACAGACGTTTGTATGACATAAATTATAAATTAAATGTAAAACTCGTCAATACGATTTATTAAAATTCATTTAATAAAATGCCAAAACAAAAAACCAATAATGGTCCTTGTTCCGTTAAAAATTACAATAAAAATTCAAATTCTTTTCGGCGTTTAACTTAATTGGCTATTAAAAAGGCAGTCACTAATGGTACGATTCAACAGTATACCTACTTACAGTCCGGTCAACAAGTCTGTCATTCGCACTATATGATTATCGTTGAATATAAGCCACCTCATGAAGATAGCCTTGCTTCAAACTTACTAAATAAATTATCATTTGGAGATCAAATTAAAAAAATGAAAACGCTTTGTATAAAAGAAGACAGGAAAACCTTGTGCTTGACCCGAAGGAATTTAATAAAATTCTTGAAAGCACAGATCCAGGTCTAAAAGGTTTTTTTGCCGAAATGTGTAATATATTATTATCAAGTGATCGATTTCCTTATAATCAAAATGAAGATAAAAAGCAAATCATCATAATCTTGTATTTGATGGCTGGATTGTGAAATAAGCATGTTAATAGTTTCAAGTTAGAACTAACCTTGTATCTTACAAGATCAGGAACATCGTGTAATGCAATTAATGCACTAAGCAATGCTAGAATTTTCATTACTTACCAAACTATACATAATTATAAAAAGAAGATTGCTAGTGAGCATCTGCTAAGAATAGAAAATTATTTTAATAATAATGAATAAAATTTGTACATTTATTTTTTTTTTAAAAAATGTTAAGGTGAGTACATGTGATCCAGGATTTTATTGATAGTATTAGTTGGCCAGCATCTGTTGATGTAATAGTATAGAGGTAATCATGAAAAGAGTGTACTTATACAACTTTAGTGATTGTCTAATTTAAGTAGTTTACCTGAAGGTTCTATACTAGTTGCTATACTTAGGACCCATCTGTAAGTTTTCTATTTAAACACTCTGATTCTGTATCTATTACATCCTATCAACAACTCTAATAAACTGATAAAGATATGTCATTGTTACTAAGTCATGTTTAACTTTGTATTAAACCTACCAATGCATTCTGTATTTTATACTTACAGCCTACCTGATATTAATTTGATCTAAATCATCATTTACAGTCAGAGTTAATCATTAAACTACTTATATTCTTGTAAGGTTTATTCAAAATTCTGATATTTATTTTTTCAATATTTTCTTTATTGTCTCCTACTAACTGCTATTTAGAACTAACAGGATTTTTTGAACTTTCAATTCAGATATTCTGGTATAATATATCTTAGTGTTCTTTTTCTTTAGTGATTTCAGCAGTCTGGTTAGTCATGTATTTCTTTATATATTTTGACATTCAGTTTATCCACCTATCTCTTTAAAAGTATTTTATAATCTTTTATCAGTCTGACAATATTGCTAAAAGTTTTGTGTTATCTTCTTATTCAAGATTTCCAAATAGGTTTCTAATTCTTCAGTTTCTTTACTTTCTGTATCTAATAGTTTTATTATAGATTTGCACTAAAGTCTTATGCAACACTAATTATTAATATTTCTTTATATAAGTATAATGTTATACTTTGCATAGATGTTTTGAGCTCCTATTCAAGATAGTGCAACTGAAGGTTATAGATACACTAATCCAACCAATCAATAGAGATAGTTACTAAAACATAGATCTATTTTTTAAAATTTATCATCTGTGAGATTTGAATTCTAGACCTGTTATTTGGAGATTGACAACCTGACCACTTTATTAGATTATTATACCTTATAAATCTGTATATTTATAACTTAGATGACTATTATAATATATATAAAAAATAACAATCTAATAATACTTTTCTTTCAGATGTCTTTTATTTTGCAATATGTATATATAAAAAGGTTAAATTATTATTTCAGTACTAATTATATTTAATGAAATATTTGTTCATAATTCAACAATATTAAGTCTTTATTTATTTGTAAAACACTAATTCATAATTATCAAAAATACTTCAACTTATTATATTTACAATGAAAAACTCAATGGAATAGCTCCAATTTGATCAAATTTGATAAATTTAATCAACTTATCATACATTTATATAATAATATTATTATAGAATAAAAAGAACAACATAAAATAAAAGATACAATCTTAGTAAGAATATAAGAGCAACAACTTCACTCTTTATCAAATTATCTAAAAGAATTAAATCTAATTTTAAATTATAATAAAAAAATAAATTATCTTAACAGTAAGGTGGCACTAATTGTTATAAATTAGTTAGGTCAGTTTTTTATCTTAAAGTATTTATTTATCTAAGTAATAGAAATAAAAATTTATTAGTACAGTCTAAAGTAATATTTTTTGTATTTTTTCTTAGTTCACTATATGTTTTTCTTAATACAAAAGAATATACTATAAAACCTTATTATCTGTTTTTTAAAAATCTTATTCATTTTATATTTAGAGATTAAAAAATTCTTGTAAAAAAACCTAGATCATGAAGAATAAACCTCTTATTAAACTTAGTATTTTCTGTATAAATTAAAATAAAAATATGTATAATTATAAAGTTCACTTATTTAGAAAAAAATATTGAATATTAAACTATTAACAACTTCTAGACAACCTTGTACTAACAGTTCTAGATATATATGCTTTACTTTTTCAATCTGGATTATTTAATAACTATGTAAAAACTATCTTTTGTATTTGGACCTTTACTTTATATTAGAAATACAAAAATTACAATAAAGCATTACTCACATTTTTATTAAATATATTTTATTAAGAAAAGCATAAGCACCCAATAAGAAAGATAAAAAAATATTTAGTTCAATTTAATAATTATTAGGTAGAAAATATATATAGCAGAATACAAGCTATAACATTACCAAATGATAGTGCTAATAATATTTTAAAGCAAGATTACATTTTAGATTATCATAAATATTCAGCCTTTTGTAAATTATTTTCAACAATATATTACTATTCATATTTAGCACAAGATTTAAGATTTTTAACTAATAAGACTTGTCTCTTTTTTTTTTTTTTTTAAACTAGCTTTTTTTGAAGCTAGAGCTTTTTATTTAGTTAAGATATAGGGACTTATAGCCAAGGCCTCAAAGGAGTCTTCTTATATTAGAAAGTACAACTAGTCACATATACACTTTTGATGTCTAATTAAGTAGTCCACCAATGGTTCTATATTAGCTGCTATACCTGCAATCCAACTAAGAGTGTTGCTTATTTAAACTTTCTGTACTGCAATTTTTACTGTATTACTAAATCATCTTTACTATGTAAGTCAGTCAAGAAGGTCTAAATGCTTACCTATATTCTTAGAACTCTATACCTTATTTTATGCAATATATCCTCAGAAGCATTGTTACTAGAGTCTTCTGTATTCTATATACAACTAACCTAGTTTTATATAATATACTATAGTTATCTAATACTTGCAGTCAATGCTAATCTTAAACTGCTATGTTATATTATTTCTATCTTTGTAAAGTTTACCCAAACCCTAGTACCTATCTTTCCAACATCTTCATCATCATCTTCTACTAACCACAACTCAGAACTAACAGACTCCCTAGATTTCTAATTTAGATGGTCCAATATGATATATTTTAATATTTTTTTCCTCTGGCAATTCTGGCAGACTGGTTGGTCATGTACTCTTTTCTACACCTTGTTATCTAGTTTATCTGCCTGTTTTTATGAAGGTGTTTCATGGGCTTTCATCAGTCTGACAGCACTGTTGAAAGTTTGTGCTACCTCTTTACTTAGAAATTTCCAAGTAGGATTTTGTCTACTCGATTTTTAGTCTTCTGTGCCTGACAGTCTTATCATGGATTTGCACTAAAGTTTTATACAATACTGATTATTAACATTTCTCTATATATGTATAATGTTACACTTTATATAGATGCCCTGAGCTCCTAATGATGAGTAGTACCTAACTTGATGTACCTGATTACAGCTGCATAAGGCCAACCAATTGACAGAAGATAGTTTTCATAACACAGATTAATTTTCAAATTTTATCATAGGTGGGATTTGAACCTTAGCCCTGCAACTTGGAAAATGACAACCCAACTACTACACTAGGATTGTTATTCTCTTTTCTTTCTTTTTTCTTAATTTTAAGAAATTTATAAAAATAATAAAAAAATAAATTTAATTAGTAATAATATTTTATCTTTAAACAAATCTCAGTTTAAAAAAAAAATATATACTACTTATGA